CACACACACACACACACACACACACACACACACACACACACAACGCGCGCGCGCATACAAACTCATTATCACTTTTACATATTTGACTTAACTGTCTTTGTTTTGTATTTCACTATAGTTACAGTTTATATCATAATCTAAATTGGCAAAATGATTTGCCTAGTAAGTTTATAGGCCTCTTTTTTCTATATATGGAACATTTATCCTCCGTATCATTCTTCTCTAATTTCAATCCATCAAACTGCACGGGCACACATCACTCACTGTACTCTTTCATTGTTTACTCTTTTAGCCAACTCTTGTCACTTACTCACGCACGCACATCATAGGCACGCACACACGCATACATGCATGCATGTACATACATCCATGTGCATGTATTAGCACGGCAAGTGACTATAAACTTATACACTCCCTTTTATACGCTTCTTTTCCGTATAATTCGAAATAATGTAAGTTGATCGCTGCTCACAAGATTAAAAGAGCTTTTAGAGGCCTAGTTCAAGAGGTCACCTATGATGGCTACTGCTACTCTGGTCGTTCATATCGTAAAGGACTTGTGCGATTGTTCTCGATGATTCGACATTACTTAACGCCACGCCTGCCAAGTGGGGCTCGTACGCTCTAAGATGCCTACAAATAATTTATGAATAATCATCAGACAGATTGCGTAACACGAGAATTAAATAATAAGGTAAAGTACAGCAGCGAAAGTATTTACCTTCTACCATGTGTTGAGTATATGACTAGGTTTCTAAGAATGAGAGCTGCCGTTAGGCGAATACTTTTGGTCACTGGACCTTCGTTGTCATCCTGCAAGGTAAAGACACATAGTTAATAATCGATAGTCCACGCACGCTAGTTTTCGCATAGACAACTGATGACAAACAACGTGAATGAAATCACTGATCTTTCAAATTCTAAAAAATGCTTTACGATTTGCAAAGAGTTTTGTGAAAAAATGCATGGATATAATACGTATCTCCAAACTGTATGATGTTGTTCTATGAATGCGTTATGATAGTTGTATTAATGTGTAAGAAGCGCTGCAATTTCTCAATGAAGCTGCAGTTCATCTGTCCTGAACAGTTGTACATACGTGTCATTCAACGTGTCATGTAATAGATGGCAACGAATCATATTCTTGCACCTTAACCACGTTATAACATTATGACAAGGACACACACATATCACATAAAAACACATATATTCACACCTACAGATCTAGCGCAACATCTACTTAGTAAATAGGAGTTCTGAAGGCTTTTCTGTTGCTCTATTGAAATGAGCACTGTGCCAACACCCTCCTAATATGAATATTATAAGTTCGACGCATATATAAACACAATAAATGCTAGCTAAAAAATATAATATCGAAAAAATAAAAATAAAAAAAGACGTGCTACAACAAAAACGGCAGGGTAAAACAAATGAAGGGTTCGGGGGAGGATGACAAAGGTGTGCAAAAACAGAGAATAAAAAAAGCACAAAGAAACGACAACAGCGGCGGCGCACTGCAGGAGCTGTAGCTGTGTCGTAATTTCCTTTTCAACTCTCAATACAATTTTTACCTGTTCTGGTGGAGAATTTTGCCCAGGTCTGGGGGAAGAAGAGCTTGAGGTGGCTGCAGCGGGCTTGGTCGGCCTTTGCTGCTTCGCCAAGAGAGAACAAGAAATTTCGTTAAATTAGCCAGTCAAAAATCATCAACAGAATTGAAGACTGTCGAATGATTTTACAGAATCGACTTTACATCAACAGAATATCAACATGACAGATAGAAAGATTGTAACATGTGTATTTCGAGATGTGTAATCAAGAGAAGGTGTATCAAGTGCATTATAAGATAATAATTTATGTATCTATATATAATAATTCGTATATCTATTATTGGTTTGTTATCACAGGAAAAAAGTTTACCTTAGACTAGATTTACACGAGACATACAGAATATTTTAATAAAATTTTGTTCAACTCTGTTCTTTCAGTTCTCTCTACGATTTTATTTTCACTTGTAGAGATAAAAATGAAAATATTGTAATTTATCTTCTTTTTATTAAATTACAATTATTCTACAAGTTACTTTTAATATTTTTTCGATTTTATGATCTCCTCTGATCGTTCATTTCCAATTAAGTACATTGATTAAAAAGTACTGATTAAAATATATTGATTAAAGTTATACCAAAACATTTATTTAAATATACATTTAACATATTGTATGATGCCTTCCTTGTTTAAAAATCGAGTGTACGCGATTTTTTAGATTATTATTTGTTTGTTACTACGTTATTTAATTTTGATAAATTTCTTATTAAACGTTCAATTAATTTAATTTTATTCAGTATATAGATTATAATTGAGAATGATATTTAAAATATAATAAAAATATAAAATTAAACAAAGATAATGAAAAATATGGTACGAATTTAGACCGATGAGAATAAATCTAATTAAATACGAGAATTCCTATATTTGATCAAAGTGTGGGTCATAGGCCGGTATTCATAGTCAGTTCTTATATTCAAGATTGTCTTAAGTTCAGTCTTGAGGAGTTACGAACCAATCGCTTTAGCATCTTAAGACATTACTTCAGACAGTCTTGAAATAAGAACCGACTATGAATATTGGCCTTAATGCTTAAATATTTTCTGTGTAAATATATATATATATATATACT